TAAATTATTTATTATATAATTAAAAAATAAAATTTACTATAATATTATATATATTTATAAAATTAATTTAAAAAAAATTTTTTTAAAAATTTTAATTTTTCATAAAAGTAAATTAAAAGGAAATTTATAATAAATAAGCAGATAAATTTGCCTGCAAATCTTTACAGTTTAAGAGATAATTATACTTAATAATTATTAATTGATTATATTATTTTTTTAGCTGTTTCTTTAAATTTTTTATTTTTTCAGTTATTTGATAAATATATAGATTCACAATTTCACTTTCTAAATTACTTAAAAAATCTTTTAATATATCAGATTCAGGTAATTATGGATCAGTGATTTAGGTATTATTGATTTTAAAAAATTTGTAATAATTTTAATTCCAGGTACTGTTTTATTAATAAACCATTCAGTTCATATTTATTATAATAAGTTAATTTTGGTATCTTGTTTATTTTATATAATCCTTATTTGTTTTTTAATCAATTATCATTTTTTTATACTAAATCAAGTTTTTTTAATCTTTGATAGAGTTTGATTTCAGCTTTTATATTCTTCAGTTTATTCCATTTACTATTATTCTCATTATCTCATTCTTCACTAATACCATCCTTACTATTAAAGATAGCATCTTAATTAGTTGCAATAGGTGACAAATAAGCACCACAATGTTGCAATGCCATTTTTACTCACTATTATTATCCTTACTATTACTAGCTAATACATTATTACTAAAATCTAAACCATTCACATTATTACCAAAAGTATTACTTCTATTATCATCAAAAAAATCAGGATTATCATTAAAAAAACTGAGATTATTACTAAATAAGTTAGATAAGTCAAAAATTGAAATTATCTGTTGTAAACTGTAACTGTAATATTATCTTTGTTCTTATAAATTATAACTGACATCACTATTATATTCTTAATTAAAAATGTGTGATAGTTTTACATTTTGTTAAATTTAGCTACCTAAAAGAATACTTATTATATTATTACATGTGCTTTAAATATAGTTTATTAAATTATTAAATTCTTGAAAATTTAATCTGGTGAAACAAAGTGTCTTTCCACTTTAGACTCAATAATGGTTTCCATTTTTCTAATTATAATATATGATACAAATTATTTTAAGTTTAGTAATATATGATATTTTTAATGTGTAATCATAATTTCATTATAATAAATAAAAATGATAAAGTGATATATTGCAATCAAATAAATATAAATATTCACTTGGTCATATTAGCTGATCATGATTTACATAAATACAGTCTTCATTAAAAGTAATGACGAACAGTTTTTTTAACCTTATACATGTAATTTTATATCAAACCTAAGTTAAATTTTTTTTAAAATAAAGATAAAAACTATAGCTATAAGTTTTATTAAGTAATTAATATTTAGTATATCCTCTATCTGCGTCAATATATGCCTGAATTTGATTTGGCATGCTATTGATGCAGTTAATTAAAACAGAATTATCAAGATTATCCCATTCTTTACGAATTACATTAATAAAAATGTCATTTGATATTTTCATTTTTTATAATACTATTTTTTTAATTTTTTTTAATTTTTTCTTTAAATTGGCCCAAACATTTTCAATTGAGTTAAAGTTTGGGCTATAAGAGGTTCATGGAAGAATCTGATTTGTAAGGTAGTCTTCAAGTCTTTTCTAACTTCATTAGAAGTATAATTTAGGTCATTATCTTACTGAAAAATCCAGCGATGATCTAATAATCTACAGAAGATAGACAAAAGTATCCGCATACCTTCATAACGTTGTCACGATGGTTTCGTGGCTTCAAATAAAATCTCAAAAGGGGTAAATAAAACTAAGACAATTACTCAAGGA